GGGGGGGAGTTTCCAAAGTCTCTAATTAAGTGTCCATCTCCAATCGGACCCAGCCAGATGGGTGGAGAACCGTAAAGACTCCCCAAACCTATCCAAATTCAGAACGCCCAGTTCGGGATTCCAACCAGGACAATCCGCTCCGTAGTCCAGCACGATACCAGCTGCAATAACGTTGCGCCCCGCCCCTCTTACTAAAAAAAAGCGAACAAATTAACCAAATAAAGAACAAGACAGTTTTGGGCAATTGCAGTGATACAAACAGTCCAAAATCAAAGAGATAACTTTAAATTTAAAACAACTTTCTTTAACAATGTAGTAAAAAAACAAAATTAAACAAACATACAGGCATCGCGGTGAAATCAGGCTTTCGTCAAAATATCGACATCGTAGAAGTGGACGTTTTTTCGCCCATTATGCAATTTTTTTCAGTTTTTTTTCCGATTTTTTGTTTTTGTTTTGTGTTGGGGGGTTTTTTTGGTGAGGGGGGAGGGGGCGTTTTGTTGTTGTTGTTGGTGTTGGCGTGGTTGTTGTTGTTGTTGTTGATGGTGGTGGTGGTGGTCTCAAAACCTTTTATGTCCATTTCAAGATACATTTCTATGTGGTTTTTCTTTATTAAACATGTTGATCAAAGAGGAAGAAAAAACTGAATTGCAGTTTCTAAGCACACTCAAGCTTTAGACGTCACCAAACGTTCGCGGCCATTTTCTTGCTAATTTTATCTCTCAAGCCCGGTGACCCCCACCTCCTTTAACCACAAATATCTCAACTTCTGTTAAAAATGGATAGGTATCTTTTTCACCAAAGGCTAAACACACGCGCGCTCAAATGACCTTTTGCAGCTACGAAAGTTGTAAAACACTTTCCAAACAAAGGCTTTACATTACTGGCTTTAAGTTTATACCTTTAACTTCATATGCTCAAAAATAAATAATGAGCGCTTAATTCCACCGTGCCGCTCAGATGTTAACAATTTATTAGATAAAGAGTTATATAAATGCAATCTATTATTATTATTATTATTATTATTATTATTATTATCATTGTTATTATTATTGTTATCATTATTATTAGGGGCCTACCATTATAATTGATATTATTAATTGTATTATTA